CCCCCGCCCCGCCCTCCTCCCCACGCGGCAATCCCGATCCCCCCAACCAACCCCCTGCGACTTGCTCGAAATCCAAATTCTCACTGCCTGGAACTGAGGCGAGTGTGAAGAGGATGAGTAAAAAGAAAAGGTTGTGCTCTTCGGTGACGAGAAGTGCGCTATATGTTTTCGTTTCTTCAAATAGCGTAGTTGTTGTTTGTGTTCTTACACGCTTTCACACAAACGTCATACTTGGACACTTAGTAAAATAAGTAAACAAATTAATAGCTTAATTCGGGTAAACGTTCTATATTTATTTCTTTCTTACACATACATGTCCACTACTCATGTATACAAGAAAAGTGATCTCTTATTAGTAGTACAGCTTAAAAAGTCAATTAATCCTTGGAAATAAAAGTATACATTCAAATCCTTTTGCTTTACTGACTAATAGAATGAGCTTTGTGCAATATAGGACTACGTGCAACTTTATCTCTGCCGTCCAGGGCGCATGCATTAGAATTTTAGCGGATATTTGCATATTGTGACGTTTCCGAAGGGATATACTTGTACAAAGTTAATATACAGTTTATTGCTACTTTCAGGTTGGACGTAGATGATGCCTATACCTGGCTGTGTGTCAGATGCTTAACACTAAATATCCTATTTGTTCTATGTTGAAACAACTGACTCATTACATCATCTGGCAACTCTATGAGAGTCACGAGTCGCCAGCCAGTATTTTAGCACTTATATTATTACATATATGGTACTAATATATTATGGACATTATGTTTGTGTTTTGTACAGTTCTTCTCTCTCATTGTACATTAAGAAGACTATCATTGCCCAGTTACATGAGCTTCCAGTCCTTTATGTTATACAAGAATTAACAATAACAGCGTTCAAATATATGGAATATTAATTGTGTCCTTTCTTTTACATGATCCTTTTCCTCCGTATTTCGTTTTTTCGTAACACGCAAAGTTTATCCCAGATTTGTTTTTTCGTCTTATTATAATCAATTAACAATCTCCACACACGTCCAATTTAATTTATGCTTCACTCTCCACTAATACACCAATAGTCCAATTACAATAATTCAACTATGTCAATTCATCCAACTGTTAGTAAACCCAGAGTTTGACCTCTGCCCTTTAGTATCCAACAGCAAGTAATGATTGTACTAGTATTCGAGCGAAGTTCAATCTTATGAACTTGCAACAATTTATACTCTAATAAAAAAATCATTATCGTCACACAATGCACATTACATGAAATTTACGCTGAATACCCACTAATGCTCTTATTATTGTACAGATCGCTCATTATCTAAATTCATTAAAGAAGTTCTCCATCGCCCCTATGGAATAAACAAACATTGTGTCCAGTCGTCGATAACTTACAGATCACCCCGCACTCAAGCCCTACGTCTCACCGTATCCAGCTGCGCTACCATGATCCACATTTAGTCTCACTTTCGCACCAACAACACACGTGTAAGAACACACCACCGTACACTCATAATTCAGGTCACAGCCATTTAATTGTGTACTGCAGATTACAACTTACATTACTAGTATGATTTTAAATTAAAAATTTTAATGAATATATTCATGTCGTTCAAATTTGATTCAGTCTTATCTTGATTGTCAATAAACTCAGGCTCATATTCTGAAGGTATTTTTGTGTGCGTTGGTTGTATATGGGGGGCATTGTCAATGATGTGATATATATTAATTAAGGAAATATTACAGTGGTCACAATTGTAGGGAGAGGGTTTATTTCTCGTTAAATGTGGTGTGGTAGATTGCAGTGCTCCAGGTTTCTATTCCTTGTAATTAACAACTTGTTCTTTTCTGTTAAGATGCTTTTTACTTTCAAACATCATTGTTGCGGTCTGAAGCCAACGTTTTATGAGTTACAGAGAATTGTAACGTGTTTTGCAGATTTGAAAGCGCGCCTTCTCATTTATTTATGGTGCATTAATTTCCAAAAATTCTACATTTCTCGTTGGCTGATTCATCTTGGAGGCAATTATATATATATATATATATATATATAATATATATATATATATATATATATATATATTTCTATATAATAATAATAAAATAATAATAATGATCAGTATTATTAACGTATTACTAATAGGGCTATGTGACGTAAAGTATTATTTAATTATATTTTCTAACGTCATTGTACAATACAAAGAGAAAATTGTCAACTGTGATCACCTTGCCCTGTTAAAAAATGTTGGACGTATGACTTACAAGCGAAAAGGATGGCCTAAACCTGAGAAATAAATACGGCACTCGTCTCACAAATAAACAGCAAGAGTTTACATTGTGTGCTTTGGGTAAATTTGTATTAAATACATGATGGCAATGCATTTAATGAATTTCAAGAAAATGAACGAAGGCTGAGAGCCAACTTTCCGATTCCCCTCTCAACGATATAGCGCAATCGATTAACCAAAATACGCCACCTCTACGCTCGCCACCGCACACGTGCGTGGTATTCGAAATTTTTCCCACGCAAAGCCAAAACATAAAAAGTTCATATTCATCCAATGTACATATCCGTTTTAATACAAAACAGGTAATGGGCCCGTCGCGCTGTGTTCCCGGCATTGCGCATAGAACCGTTCGTCCCTCTCCCAATTTATACATTTAACCAGCTTTAGTGTAATCACCTCCGTTGCTATATTGATTATATATAATGCATGCATTACACGTTTCGAACCGAGGCCCTGGCCGGGAGTGCGGTGCCATTAACGGACTCCCCTCCCTAAGCCTATCTTCACGTCTGAATTAAAGTTCGCTCATAGAATATGGTTTAACCTGCGCCGTTCTTGTCATTGCGCCTGATTAGGCGGGCGGAAATTGTTTCGCCCGCCCCCGCCCGGCCCTGCTTCGCTCCGCGTTGCCCCATGCAGGTGGGCGGCGGGCGTCGGCCGCTATCACGGCGCGATGGCCATCGCCGCGAAGGGCGAGGCTGACGCGGTTGGCGTCTGGGGAGAGTCGGGGGAACTCCCTGATTCAACCCACACTGGGAGGTCCTAAGGTGCCGAAACTAGCCCAGACATCGACTAAGTGGTTTCTGCGTACAAAACTTGCGCGATTTCGAATCAATACAAAACCTTACAAACGAGCTACGGACCTGCGCGCGATCTGTTCTCCTCATTTGCACATCATTCTCGCCTGCTATATTCTCGCGTTCTTCAGCTGACGCCTCCAACCCTCAGTTAAATCATTGTTACTGTTATTTTTTCTGCCCTATTGATGCTAGCCTCCATCTCGATATCGTTGTTCCTCGTTAAAGCTCAGGAAAACAAAACACAAGCCCGTGAAACTGTTTTCCTGTCGAAGTGACTATGTAAAAGTCTGATGATAAGTAAGAGTTTAGGGACGGCGCTGGATCAGGGTAGGTA